TGATTATTGTATTATCACTTGGGCATGAAAATTAGGGCGTTACATGCGTCAATGATAGAGGAAATGATCTACACCATGGACAGCGATGATCTTTACTGCAGTCATCGCCACTGACTCCTTCCTAAAATTGAACAGATAAATGACTTATTCGTGGTCTGCAACAAAAAGAGCTTGAGATCTAAACCGTCTCATACTTTTGAAGTCAAATGGTACGAGCCGAGATTCAAAGGTCACCCCTGATCTGGAACTAATCAGTGTGTGCTTAAAATACAAATCTGAGCTTCTACAACTCTTTTTTTTGTTTTTGTTTTTGTTTTTGTTGATTGTTGATGGTTGATGGTTAATTCTTGTTGTTGATGTTGGTGAATGTTGTTGATGATGAAACAGATTTGTAATAGATAGGAATTCCTAACATATTTGTTTATATACATATGTGTGAGAGAACTAAAAATAAAACATCTCTCTTTCAGATCAATTTTTTTTTTTTATTTTAAATGTAAGTTTAGATATGGTATTGATATTGATATTGATATTGTTATTGTTGTTGTTGTTGTTGTTTTTGTTGTTGTTGGGCTTGATGATGATGAAACATATTGTGATAACTATGTGCAGCCTATTTAATATAGATAGATTAAGAAAAATTTACAATAACAAAATAATTTAAACAAATAACACAAGAACAATTGTACAGATTTAATTTTTTTTAAACAGATCGGACCTCCAACACATAAAAACATTGAATAGATAAAAACAAATGAACAAAAAGGTTCAACAGATAAGAAAAAATTAGGGAAAAATTGAACAAATAATAAAATTTGGACAGATAGATTTAAATAAATAAAGGAAAAAAATGAATAGGTAGATAGTTTTAATTGATAATTTCGGCAAATAAGGGGAAAAAATGAGCAGACAAGGAAAAAAAATTGAATAGATATGGAAAAAAATTTGAACAAATAGAAAATAAAAGCTATAAGATTTGTTTTTTAAATTTTAAAACTTATTAATTAACTTTTATTTTTTAAAATTTATATATGGATTAATTAACTTTCCTTTTGAAATGTGTAAATCAATGCATAATATGATTTTTTTAAATGATTTAATAAAAGTTAGAAGTTGCTTTACAAATTTTAAAACTAATTAGTTAACTTCTTTTCTTTCTTTTTTTTCAAATCTCTAAATGAATTAATTAACTTTTTTTTTGAAATGTGTAAATCAAGGCATATTTTTTAAAATTTTAAAGCTGATTAGTTAACTTTCCTTTTCAAATTTCTAAATTTAAATTTATAAATAGATTAATTAATTTTCCTTTTCAAAGACATAATAAGATTTTTTTTTTAAATGATTCAATAAAAGTTAAAAGATTTTTTTAAATTTTTTTTAAAACTGATTAATTAACTTTCCTTTTCAAATTTAAATTTAAATTTATAAATAGATTAATTAACTTTCTTTTTAAAATATGTAAATCAAGACATAATAAGATTTTTTAAAATTTTAAAAATGATTAGTTAACTTTCCTCTTCAAATTTCTAAATTTGAATTTATAAATGAATTAATTAACTTTACTTTTGAAATGTGTAAATCAAGGTATAATAAGATTTTTTTAAATAATTTAATAAAAGTTAGCAAATAAAATGTTTTTTTAATTATTTAAAAATAGGAATTATAGAAAAATAATGTCTTTATCGGTTCGTGACCGGTATGAGCTTATTTGGGAGTTCCAATATTGGATTAAATATTTAAAATTAGCTTAAAAAATCTAGTTCGAGTCGATTTTTTTTCTCCAAGAATCCTTGGTTTAAACTATAATACATCATATTTTAATAACTCAATATCATAAAAAAAATAATCTTAATGTTTACGGTGCTTTTTATCATTCAATAATTTTTTTTGTGTGAATATTAAGAGAATACATTTGAACAAATTCTAACATAAAATTTTTATTTTAAAACTTTAAGACATACACATTTTATTTTATTTTTACTTTGTAACTAATTTTTGAGATAGCAATTGACATAAATTTTAATCATTATTATATGGAGAGACATCTGTGATAAGAGTTTGTAGTACACAATTTTAAAAGTAATAGTAATTCAAAATTTTCAGTATGGAAAATATGTACTCAACTTTATGTTATGTTCGATTCATGGATTTGGGTAGGAATTTAGAATGGGAAAGGAAAAAGATTGGTGAAATGTAAATGAAATATAACTACATTTTACCTAATTTCACACACCTTTTCATTTTTCCTTTCAAAAATTCTACCCAAAATCATGAATTAAACATATCACCAATGTTTGAAAAGAGTTTTGGATCCATTATTGTGTTGATATACACTATCTTAAAAAACTATATAATATTTGGTGGGAGAAAAAAATTCTTAAAATGGATCATTAATTACATTATAAAGGAATAAAAGCTAGCCAATAATTTTTTAAAAAATATTTTAAAAATTAAACATCAAGAGAAATAAACTATAGAAGGTGTGAATTGATTCATATATTTTAGTGGTACAAAAATCTAAATTTTAAAACTGATATTTTCCAAATTTCTAAATGTAAATTTTTAAATAGATTAATTAACTTTCTTTTTGAAATGTGTAAATCAAGGCATAATAAAATTTTGGCGTTGCAGTAGTATAGGAAGGAATTAGATATCGTTCTAATAGACGAAACAGAGACTAAATATTGTTCTAGGAGACGAGAATTTTTTAATTTACAAGAATACCCTTAAATACACAAGGAAGATAGAAGAAAAACTCTTTAAAATATTATTGATTGAATGACTCCATTACATATGCTTGTAGGCATATTTATGATAAACTAAACCAAATACTTGTAGGAAAAGTAATTCTAAAATAAATTAGGAAGCTTAAATCAACATAAATTAGGAAACCAAAGAAAAAAATTCTAAACTATTTAAAACCTTAGTCAAAATCTAATTTCAAATAATAAAATTAAAAAATATAAAAATTATATAATTTTGTTCTAGATTTTTTTTTAAAAATAATTCAATCAAAGTTATAAGATTTTTTTTAAAAAATTTCCAAATGAATTAATTAACTTTTCTTTATAAGATTTTTTTAAAATTATTTTGTGTGTATAAGTAACGGTATATACTGAAAATATTAGTGGTGTGTAAATAAAGTCACCCTTATCAACAAAAAAATTTCATAACTATTAATCATCAAATAGAAATATTTATTCCATCTTAGAGGATTTGAATTTTTCTTTATAAGATTTTTTTAAATTATTTTGTGTATAAGTAACGGTATATACTGAAAATATTAGTGGTGTGTAAATAAAGTCACCCTTATCAACAAAAAAATTTCATAACTATTAATCATCAAATAAAAATATTTATTCCATCTTAGAGGATTTGAATCCCTCTTTTGTCAAACGTAACTGGAAATTATCAAAAATCCAAAAATCTAATTTGATTTAATATCAGATTGGATCAGATGGGATTTATTCCCGTCCTTTTATGATTGGATCTGTTGGATTTGAGATTGAATTAGATATTTGTTAATGGATTTGGATTTTCAAGTCAAAATGGGATCAGATTTGGGTCAAGTCCGATCCATTGATAGTTTAGAGTCCGATGCCAACAAACATGGCTTTTTGATTGGTTTGTGATATACAATTTTAGCTTTTTGATTAGTTTGTGATATACAATTTTTAAGGTTTTTCGTTCAGCATTTGTACATAAAAATTGAAGCGTAAATTATACTTTGTAATCTTTATGTTTCCTTTTTTATTTTGACTTTTAAAGTTTATTTTTTTATCACATTAGCCCTTCATATTTTAAGTTTTTTTCAATTTATTCCTAAAGTTAATTTCTATTAAAAGTTAAACAAAAAATGACATATTAACCGTCATGTGGTATAAAAATATTTTGTTATATATAAGTCATTATTTTGACACAAACTCAAATCTCAATATAATAATATATTTTTGGACAAATTATCAATATTCTTTGAGATTTGACTAAAATACGAATTCCCTCTGAGATCTGAGAAATTACATCCCGCCCCCTAAGATTTATATTTGCATAACAAATTGCCCCGTGAGGTTTATATTTACATAACAAATTACCCCGTGAGGTTTATATTTACATAACAATTGAATTTGTACCCTCATTTGTTATGCAAATATAAACCTCATGAGGTAATTTATAATTTCCCAAACCTCATGAAGGAATCTGTATTTTAATCAAACCTCAAGGGGAGTGCTGACAACTATTGTGACATTTTTTTGTCTGATTGTGAAATAAATTAACTTTAAAAGTAAATTGAAAAAAAAAAAACTTTAAACTTAAAGGGCAAAAAAAAAAAAAAAAATCAAGAGTCAAAGTGCAAAAATGACTACACAGAAAGAAACAAAGTGTAATTTATCCAAAATGAAACTAGTGAGGCTGTATTTATCTCTTATATTTTGTACTCAAAGCTCAGAATATACATTGTTCAAATATGATATTGTGCATGCTACGTTTATTAATTTAAATCTGTACTACACAAAAGATTGTATTAGACATTCAAAATTCAAAATTTAACATTAAACATTTTGTTTTGAAAGTCACAGAATTTAAATGGAAAAAAATAAAAATAAAAACTAAATATTACAACACAGCTTAAGACAAATACTTGAGGTAGACCTCGAAAACATGAAGCAACCTACACAGATGATGAAAGAAAACAATTCTTTCCACAGACACTTCATTGATACATATTTTTTTGAAACTTATTACAATTTTACAATAAATGGAAAAACTAAAAGTCATTCTTTTACTTTATTACATAACTCAACTTGCTCATGCATTGTGTGTGCCCGACAACTAGTATGTATACATGAAACCATATAATCACCCAATTCTTTAATTTGGCATTAGATATGGTTCTTTGGTACTTCTCAAAGATTCACTTAGTCAATTTCTACATTAGAAGGTTCATTCCATGTCCTGGTCGTATAATATTCTCTATCACTGGAGAGTGGACATAATTTGCATCAAGGGAAAAGGAAAATTTGGAGAATGATAGTTAGGAGGGCTTTTATCTCCAGCATTGCAAATAATTGTCCAGCACAGATATGGGGACCATTACCAAAAGGAATATATACTTGCGGGATTTTGCAAGCACTTCCTATGCCGTTAGCAAACCTGTCTGGGTTAAATTTGCTTGGGTCAAGACCCCAGAGTTCAGGATCATGGTGAAGTGACATCACAGCAACCCAAACACCAACGCCTTTTGGAATTTCAAGGTCTCCGAACTTCATATCTTCTAGGGTTTCTCTTGCTATAAAGGGTACTGGAGGGTTGAGTCTTAATGCTTCTTGAATCACTGATGTCAACTACAATTCAAATTAAAGAAAAACACAATTAATTTTCACAAATCTTGCTAATGAACAGATTGTGCACGGGAAAAAACTCATCCACTAATTTCTAATGCAAAAACTTGTGGACTCATACTTACCACTTTCATTTTGCCAAGCTTAGTGGCATTAGGCAAGCTTTCACCACAAACTTCAGCAACCTCCGGACGGGCACGATCTTGCCATTCTGGATGCATTGCAAGCAACATCAAGGTCCAGGCTGTAGTGTTTACTGTGCTTTCAAGCCCTGCTACATAAACATTCTTACAGTTGTCGACTATGAGTTGTTCTACTGCAGCTGGTCCAAGAGCACTCATCTTAGCTCCATTGATGATCGTTTGTAGCACATCTACATTAGATGACTGCTCATTCACAATACTCATAATCTGTGAATGTATCTCTTTCTTTAATCTCCATTTCTCTAAATTGCTCTTGGTTGGAATGTACCTAAATAACAACCATTTGTAAAAATAATCTAAAGAAAAACAAATGCAGAAATACTTAAAAATAATTACTCCACAAATCCAAAATGACACACAATAAAAAGAACTTCAAACACCAACCATAAGCCGGAATCCCGCCAACTAGGATTGGAGTTTTCATGGCCCTTTCTAGACGCTTGAACCTTGATTGCAATTCATTAATCACTTTGGAATTGCTTTGTCCAAACAATGTTTCAGAGATGACAATAGAAGCAAAGCTCTGCAGATCCTCATCAACCTTTATATTTGCTGTCTCTCTTTGTTTTTCTATTTCAATCTCCCATGTGTTGATTAGTTTGTTTGCAGAGTCTAACATTATGTGCACCAAATTCTGCATCATATTTTTTCCATTTTGTCAGGTTTTTGTAATTGGCAATTTTATTTGACAAAACTCTTTTCAGTTATAATTTTATTCGCTCTTTTATTTCAGTAAGGCTGTGAGTGTTTAGATGCGAATCCAACCCTAATTGTGCTTTTGTTTGCCACTTCGCTGAATACGTACGGGAATCGAGCTATCCGGTCAACTTGTAGGGGTCCAAGTGCTAGCACCCAAGCAGGGTCAGAGGGCACCGCTCGAGCGGTGATGTGATATATCTAATATCTTTGCCTACAAACTGAACTTCTAGAAAACAAGTTTTACCGCTCGAGCAGTTGGCCTATACATTTTGCACCGGCTTTACTCACACCACTCAAGCGGTGAAGTGTGCGCTCGAGCGGTCGTCGCGACTCTATTTTCTATAAAGTGCACCGTTTGTTGTTTTTAAGGTTGAACCCATCCAAATTCTTAGAGAGGAAGAAAAACAAAAATGTTTTATATTGGAGGGTGTTTTATAAGTGTTTCCTTGATGATTTGAGAGTGATCGATGAATCTACGAGCTTCATATTAACTTCATCAAGGGGTTTATTTTTGTTGTTTTATTCACAAAAGAGAGGTGTTCTTCAGTGGATTCTAGAGAACTAGGCTTGAAGCTTTGGTAGATTCCGGAGTGGTTCATTGTCGTGGATTTGATATCGGCGTTGTGGATTCAATGTTTGGGTAAGACAATTCCGAAGTAAAGACAGTGGTGGAAGAGACACATCGAGGTTTGGTTCAATTTGGGTGTGAATTTGCTATGTAATTGAAAGTACTCGTGTGTAATTCCTTTTTGTCTTCTTAGTGGATTGTTTTATGGTTTTAACCCGTGATTTTTTTATCACAATTGAAGGTTTTCCAATTATGATATTTTTCACATTAAATTGTTGTGCCGATTTGTTGTTGATTATTTGATTGGAATTGATATTCATTGTTTAAAAATGAAACATAATCACAAATCAATATCTTGGGGGGATTTTAGATTTTTTAATTTGATCAATTTCTCTATAGAGTAAATAGTTTGCAAATTCAAATTGTAACAGCTATGGTGAGTATTGTATTAGTACCTTAACTTTATCGACATAGAACTCAAGAGTTATGGTTTTTCTTTGGTGAGCCCAGAACTCTCCATCTGAGGTAAGTATGCCCTTACCAAGCAAGGTTTCTGAATTCTTTTGTAGGAAAAAAGGCATTCCCAACTTGAGTGATGTGGAGAGGCTTATTTCCTTGGCCAAATGTGGATCAGTAATGTAAACCACTTGATATGTTCCCAAAGCAAAGTTGTATCTTTGACCCGTCAAAATCCACTCCAAATCAACATTTGTGATTGGAAATTACATGAACAAGTATAGTAGCAAATGGGTTTTGCAATTGGTTAATACATACCATACTGTTTAGTCCAATGGTCGAATAATGGGAATGTGAATCGAGCCCAATCATGTGTGGCTTCACCATCTTCAGTAAGAGCTTTGATGTCTTTGGGTTGGAATTTGATAAAATCAGGAATGTTACCAAGAAGAAATGAAGGTGAAGGACCTCTCAGACCTTGGCTACGAAGCTTTGATCGAAGCCTCTGAGGCTTCACCCAAAATCTATCGAAGAGATAGATGATGAAACTAGTTAAGAAGAGCAATCCTACAGAGAAAGCAGAGTTGAAGAGCAATCCCATGTCTTCAATTCTAATCTTTGTTTTTTTTTTCCCCTTGTAGAACTTTGCTCTGTGGCCTGTATTTGTTTTTCATTAACTAGTTTGGCATATTTATATAGAAGAGGAAAAGAGGAGATTGCTGCTCGGGAAATTATAATAATAATTTAATGTAATAGAGAGATGATGACTAATATGCCGTTTTCTGTATAAGTGGTGTTATATGTACTAATTGGTACATCAATTAGTATATTAATGGGTCTTGTAGTTTGTATAATGGGTGGGATTCATAGTTTTGAAATAATAATATCATAGCATATCCTAAGGGGTAAAAAGCTTTATTCTTATATTTTTATGGTAGTGTAATAGTACAAGTTCTTATGTGTCAAAATTGTACAAGAAAAAATTTAATTTATCGTACAATTATTTTTCCACTGTTCCATTGATTTACAATTTCCTATCTGGTATAGCTTGGAAGAAACCCATTGACCATTAAATGTCCCCCAAAAGGTCTTTCTTTACTAGTTGACATTCCGACACCGTTTACATGGGCATGTAACTTCATTTGATAGGGGATTATTTTGGCATCCAAGTGTCACAAATTCCTTAACCCCTTCTATATATTTTGGGTGCAACCTATGCTGATTTATCCAACTTTTATCCATCTGACTTCGTCTTACACTACAAATGTCACTGCCAAATCAACAAAGTTCAAAATTATCATTTCATTTCAATTATTCTTAATCTCAATTAAGTACCTTATAATGCATGCGACATGACACCATTCACCTCTAACTCTTCTCTAATAGGTTGGTTCATCCTACTTTCCCATTCAGGAATACACAATCTATATTGTAAAAAGTAGCTCATACCGCTCTATCTATCTCTAACAAATTTTGACAGCATCTCCCCACGGTTCTCCAAGTACACGACATAGACTGGGTGTACTGTTGCACCTTGTCTAGTATGTACCCAGAGAATATGAGGAGCTACTACACGAAATCTCTACGAGATGGACTACATTTAAGCAGTAAAATTACTAATTACAACACAAACTCATGCTCCTGAACTGTCCAAACTGGACAATCCAAGAAGAGCTTCATCAAAGATGACTAGGTATCTCTAATGAAGATTCTTGGACGGGTCTACGGCTATTTATGCATGCATGGATAATTACTTGCTAAATTAACAACTATCATATTTTTGCATCCCGGTGGTTCAATCTAAATCAGAACTATCAAGCATACTAGAAGTATTTCTAGCATAAAGCATATTAAAGAAGAAACTAAAAGTTTCTACAATGCTCTTGATAGATTATGATGTAAAGCTTCATCAAAGATGACTAGGTGTGCACTAAAAAAATCAATCTATGTCCCTTAGTACAAGTAAAAAAATCAACTCCATCACATATATTAAGAAAGAACCAATATGAAAAATGCCAAGGCTAGAGATGAAATATGCATAATTGATACAAAACTCCTACAGTATTTGTTTTTACAAGGCAAGTAGTGAACTATACAGGCATATCACTATCAATTCAAAAACCTAAATATAAATCATGTCCCCGCAATCACCAATTAATCAACTAATCATTCGAAAACCTAAATCCAAATTATGTCCCTGCAATCACCAATTAATCCAAATCATGTCCCCGCAATCACCAGTTAATCATCTTATGTCCAAAACTAGTCACAAAACCGACTATAGCTTTTTCAACTTTCAAGGTATCAAAATAAGTTACCATGACATTTCATCAGCTGGATTCAATAATTGTTTCATCTCAATCTGAGCAGCAGACTACTTGATTAATGTGCACATATTTTTTCTACATTTTGGCATAATAGAGATCAATGAGATTGTTTTGGCCTAAAAACATATCAGATCAGGTGTATATGCCTTGGACAACCAAACTTAAACACAAATTAGCAAGCTTGCCTAAACATCACACATAGGTTTCCTTTTCATGTATACATGCACTACAAATGTTTCATATACAATTTAGCCCCACATATTCACTAAATCAAGATGAAGAAACCTATTATTATTTCTTGAAAATAAAATACAGGCACCTGGCCAGCCTTGGCCTTGCTAATTGAAGAACAAAAATGCATTAAAACGCATAATATAACAAATCCTCCATCTTACAACCTATGAAACACGGACACCTCTCCGAGGGCTCCGTACCAGTGTCGGACACGTGTCCGACACGCAGTAGAGAGTGTCCCCTTTTTTTTAATTTTTTTACATCCGGACACGTTCAGGACACGTTATAGACACATTCGGACACGTACGGGGGTAATTTCACAATTTACTAAATTTTTTTGGGGTTAATTTGTAAATAAGGAAAAACATATCAAAATTTGCCCTAATCTACTTCGAATGTAGTTCGAATAGAAGAGAAATAGCAGAGAAAGGGTGAGAAAGAGAGGACCTGACTTCGTCGTTCGTCATTCGTCTTCTCTTCTCGTCGATCGTCGCTCCTTGTCGGTCGTTAGTCGTCTCTCGCCCTTCGTCGTTAAGGTACACCTCTTCTTCTTCGATCTCCCTCAGTCGCTCGGCCGCTCTCTCTCTCTCTCTCTCTCTCTCTCAGCCTGTTTTCTTTCCTCAGTCGATCTCTCTCGCCTCTGTCTTCTCTCTCTCGCCCCCTCCTTTTATTCTGATTTTTTTTTTCTTTTTTTTTCTTTTATTCTGATTTTAATTTAATTTTTTCTTTTCTTTTCTTTTTTCTTTTATTCTGATTTTAATTTAATTTTTTCTTTTCTTTAATTTTTTTCTTTTATTCTGATTTTATTTTATTTTTTATTTTCTTTTTTCTTTTATATTTTGATTTTATTTTTCCTTTTCTATTACTTGAGTATATAATTTTAATAATGTATGTTTATTAATTTTATTATAGGAACCAATTTTTAATTCTGAAACAATGCTACGGGTGGTTAATAGTGTTATTTTATTAATTTTAATAATGTTATTTTGTATATTTTATTACCTTTTAATGATTTTTTAAATAATTTTATGACATATAATAAATAAAATTAATTATATATATTGAACGTGTCCCCAGCGTGTCGTGTCCCCTATTTTTTGAAAATTTACGTTTTTGCGTGTCCGTGCTTCATAGCTTACAACTGCTGCATACACCCACGAAGTTGAATTAAAACCTAGACCCAACTCAAATGCAAAGCATACAATCATGAAATCAATCTAAATGCGACCGAAACTGTGACAACCCTCACCACTGATTACTGCTAAACTGTGACTGAGCATGATAAGTAACTGATTAGGATGAAATCCTAAACTGATTGTATGAATGTGTTATGTTAAATGCATTTCTATCTGTTTGTCATTGATTTATCTGTTCATGTTTTAAGTTTCGAACCGTAAATTGAAGGCCTTATCGGCGGCCGAATCCGGAACTGAATAGTGTTTTGTGTTAATTAGAATTAATGTGATTTTATGGTAAATTTAGTTGAAATTTGATTTGGTATGATTAAATTGGATTAAATAATGTTAAATTACATTAGTTGGCTTATTTACCAAAATGCCATTAAGTGGACTTTGCTAGACCAAATGTTTAGTCTTGATTTACATGTGTTGTCATTGCTTTTGTTCATCTCTGAGAGACCAAACCGACTAGAGAGAGAGAGAGTTAGGAGAGCTTTGGTTTCATCAAGAATTGCTTGGAAAAGTAGAAGAATTGAAGAATAGATTGCATAATTAAGCTTCTAGACTTGAAATTGAAAACCTAAGGTAGGAGAATCATCTTCTTGAACTTGTATTTAAGTCGTATCTTGCATGTTTCATGGAAGTTTGGTGATTAGAGTCTAGAATTGGTTCAAAATGTTGAATTGAAGCTTAAATCATGCATGCATGTATACATTGTTGAGTTTTGAGGTTGTTTTCATAGAATCCTCACATGCATGTCCATATTCTAGCTTTGGTCCATGAATTCAGCATGTTTTTAGAAGGATTGACTCATTTGTTCTTGTATTAGAAGCTTTGAAGTTGATTAAATTCATGCATGTTGCATGTACATCATGTTCTTGAAGTTTTGTTTGGAAATGGGTTCAATTGAACTACCTTTGAGCTTTGATTTTGCAAATTGATCTTTGAAACATGTCATATTATCAATTCTAAAGTGTTTTCCAGAAAATTAGCCCAAAAGGATCGAATTTGATGCTTTAAATGTTGAGTTTCATGCTTGGAGACAAATTTAAAAATTCCAGATTTTGGATCCACGCTCGAGCGAGGAACTTTACGCTCGAGCATACACTCTGAGTTCATGCAGTTCGCTCGAGCATGAAATGCGTGTATCCAGCTCGAGCGAGGGAATGCATGCTCGAGCGAGGGTCGAGCGCCCGTCGAACGTGAATTTCATGCATCCAGTACTTTTGCAGTCCGCTCGAGCGAGAAAAGTCACGCTTGAGCGGAGCTCCTTTGTCTGCATGTCCACTCGAGCGTAGAAAGCCACGCTCGAGCGAGACCCCTATTTTTTGAAAATTCTAAAAAGTGTTTTAAAGTGCATCTTTGCATCCTCATTCCATCCTAGGCATTTCTAGGCCTAGTTTAAGGCATCTTAATGAGGAAAATGCTATAGAACCACACCGAGTCAAGATAGGGACTCAGTTATTATTTCCCAAATGTGCAACTTAGTATGTGTTCATCCTGTAACTTGTAGGGTTGGCATTCGAAGACGCTCACTAGCCTATCTGTAGCTCAGAACTCTGTGAGTAACAACGTTGTAAAGATATATTCAATCATGAATACTTTCTGAATGATCAACTGTACTATTTTCTGAAATGATATTTCTTACTGAATGAATGCTTGTCCTATTTACGAACTGTATTCGTGGCATCCATAGCAATTTACTGTTACTGTACTATACTGCTACTGTCATAGAGATCTCTGTCGGTTTCCATGTTTGGAACCATTACTGTTTACTGATATGATGGCCATCAACTGACTGTTCGGTCTGTTAAGACCTACTGTACTGTTTGCTATTGGATGTACCACATATAACTACTATG